AAAAAAAAAAAAAAAAAAAAAAAAAAAAAAAAAAAAAAAAGTTAAGTAATTTTCCCAAGGACACATGAGCACGAACATCAGAACTAGAATGAGAGGCCCGGCAATCTCTTTCTGCGCTTTGGCTCTTAATGTTTACGTAGAATATTAATAAGTGTTTGTTGATAAAGTCATTGAAATAACAAACCAGGAGCAAATTCTTTCAATTAGTGACATAAAATAAAATCATGTTATTCTTGGATGGTATGTTGACTTTCCCCATGTATATTTTAAAGGCTGTTTGACAATCTCACCTTTTGCTTTTTGTTCTGGATCCTCTGTTTTTCTATTTGTTTCTGAAAATTAAAGACAAAACATAGTAAGTACTATGCAAATCATTCAGTATCTCAAAATATATGACAATATTTAAATGAATTCAATAAGTATAATTAAATAAACATATATTCTGAGCAAACAATCCAATTTTCCTAAATCTGGAATTCATTACACATGAAATTCATTAGAAAATATCAAGATTTGGGCTGGGTGCAGTGGCTCATGCCTGTAATCTTAGCACTTTGGGAGGCTGAGGTGGGTGGATCACAAGGTCAAGAGTTTGAGACCAGCCTGACCAACATGGTGAAACCCCTTCTCTACTAAAAATACACACACACACACACACACACACACACACACACACACACACAAAATTAGCCAGACATGGTGGCATGTACCTGTAATCTCAGCTACTTAGAAGGCTGAGACAAAAGAATCGCTTGAACCTGGGAGGTGGAGGTTCCAGTGAGCCAAAATCATGCCATTGCACTCCAGCCTGGGCAACAGAGCAAGACTCCGTTTAAAAAAAAAAAATAGAAAGTATCAAGATTTGGGCATATTTCAATTACTTATACATAAGTCACCAAGCACTGACAAGGTAGACAGGTATCAGGCGCCAGGCTAAGTACTCCTTGTCTATAAGATAAGAGAGTTGGAGTGAGTGATGTACATCAACTCTAAGTGTCTCTATGGTACAAAGACATGTGGGTGGGGAGAAGCCATCATTAAAGCTTGTTCAATATTTTTATTGTCTCTTAAAATCAGAAAACTACTTTAATAAGTGACATCATGTGATTTAAAGGAATGCAGCATGTCACACTGCTTGGAATATTAGTATGCTACTCTAAGAACTTTACACATACACAGATGACCCATTGTGGGAGCTGGTGTTGAAGCCCAGGTGGGAAGCCAAAGATGAACCCAAGAGTCCACCTGTGTCAGATGCACTAAGCAAATCACAGTGTCTTTCCCACAGATAGAATTACCGAGAACAATAACACCCACCAAGAGCCTAGACTAGCCAAAGAACATCCACCCCTCACAGTGAAAACAGCAGCATATGAGCTGACCATGTGTTTTTAACCTCATTTCTGCACCTATAACTTCACATTAGGACTACCATGTAATGTAAATTACGATCTAGTTAATTTTCAAGGTCGATCACCTGATTACAGCCTTAGTAGGAACTTACCTATTCTTTGGGTATTTCTAGGAACACGGGCATATGCACATGGGCTGGTGTGGGAACAAGGCAGTTTGGGAGATTGATTTAAAAAATCCGACTCTGTCCTCTCCCACAGAAGCTGCAAGAGGATGTCGATGAGATCAGGGATGCAGTCAAGGGAACACTGACACAAACCAATTTGTTGGTCTCAAGTTTCCCATATTCATTCATATAAAACATTTCAATTTGGGAAGATGAAAAGTAAATCTGAGGCTTGTTTTAATGCAGGGAAAGGCTTTTTAATAAGTCAAGTGGTTTTGCTCCTTTGAGTCGCTAGAGAAGAGGAAGAAAGGGGAACTAGCTTTGAAATACAGTGTGCCACATCACTTATGGATTCTCTTGTTTGCTCACACCCTGTGGAGAACGTCTTACCGCCTTCTTCGTACATAGGAGAAAACAGACGGTTAAGAAATTAAAGTGCCCAAAGCTATCAAGGCCAGCAGTTTACATAATTCCAAAGCATACGTTCTTTCCATCGAAACACTGTGTACCTTTCTTGAAAGAGAAATGAGGAGAGGTGCCAGTCTTGACTTTTGGAGTTGGTTTTATAAAGTTGACAGCACATACCTCTGGGCAGTGCTGCAAGAATAATGCAAGTTTTTTTTTTTTTTTAAGGACTTGTAGCTCTTGGCAGAATGTTCTAGAATTCCTGATCTTTTTAACTGTAACCTCCTCATTATAAAGTTAGGTAGCTGAACTAGACCATTCAATACCATTCATTCAGCAAATATTAACTGAGCACCTAATAATGTCTGCCTGGCACCTTGTAGTCATCTGAGATACAACAATGAAGAAAAGCATCAAAAATCCCAGTCTTGACAGAGCTCCTTCTGGGGGATCAGCAGTACCTGCAGGAACACTGCAGCCCTCCACATCCCCTAGTCACTGTAAATGGCTGATGTGATTAGAAAAATCAAGTGTAAAATGCAAGTTCCTAACAGGGCTAGATAGAACAGGTGGGCGCTGGTCATGAAAAGGAGTTTAGGGGTCTCCACAGATCTTCCCACTCTTGGGAGGGAAATAAGAAAGGAGGAGTGGGGTTTGAACTGGTCACATTCTAAACAGAAGTGGAAGGTGTTGATCCCGATGTGGGAGGGCCCTGGCCAGGTCTCTCCTGTCCTCCCAGGAACGTGGTGAGTGTGGTTGGACAAGGGCCCAGAAACAAGGACCATCATCTTTCTTCCACTCCTCATGCTGTATCTAAAAGGAGGTGGCATTCTGACCTAAGGCCTCACCCAGACCATTGCATGCCCCAAGGCAAAAGACCTCATATTCTCATTCTTGTCCTCCTCTGTCCCTTACCTCACATCACAAGCTGAGTTCTGAGACTCATTTTGGATACGGAGAAAATGTGCAAAGGATACGGTTTAGGTGCTACGATTTTTAGTGCTTAAATTTAGCTTAGGTAAAGGAACTTTCTACGAGATTCAGCTTACCTCACCAGCATTCTGCACAGGTAATAATGAAGTGCTACTTTCCTTTATTCTCTGGGAGGTTTCATATGAACCTCACTGTGCCAAAGAGGAAAATGACTTGAGCATGCATTGAACATGACTGCCTTGAACATGCAGGCATTGTTCTTAGCACTTAACACAGACTATCCCATTTAAACTTCGCATCAGTCATAGGAGGTAGTTACAATTCTACAAATAAGGCAACTGAGGCATAGAGAGGCTAAGGAAGCTTGTCCAGGGTTAAAAAACAAGCAAAACCAATTTCAGAGACTATGCTCCATAAAACACTACTTTAATCACACTCTAAATCCCAGTAATGGGCAATTCATTAACTAAAGGAAGCTATATGCTCAGCCCACCCCTGAAAATTACAAAAGTACAAGCTCACATGTAACTCATATTTAGTGTTTAAATATTTGTATTCAGAAAAAAGATGTTACACTACTTTTTACCTGTCTTACTTTTTTCTCCTTTAAATATTACTTTATCAGAACAATAAAAGCCTTACTAAAAAGAATGAGATATTGATCTTTAAAAATTGTCATACAACCACTAAAGCAAATACTTTTGTGGATTCAGATATACCGTACTCCATCATGTTCCAGCCACTGTGCTAACCTGCCGGCTGAGCAGTTCTGGCTGGAGTCAGCATATGTTCAAAGCAAATTTCCACCCAGGCCTGTTCATCCCTCTGAGTCCATTACCACATGGGCATCTGTTCGCTCCCTGCCCTGGGACATGAGACTCTGCTCTCGCCCTGAGCACCCACACTGACCAGTCCTCGAGTGAAAGCTTTCCAGTCTCCTTTTCTCTCTACTAGCACTTCCGTAGCTCATGCTGTATAACATCACCTATTACTAGTTAGTTGCCTAACTGTCTTCCTGCCCACGCTTTGGCCTCCCTCCAATTGCTTCCACCTCTCACCAGCTACCCGAGAGTTGCTCTGGATACTGGCATGTCATCACGGGCCAGCAGGTGCCCCGCCTCACTGACATTGGCTTTGCTCACCTGCAGGTGGGAGTAATACTTACTGCTGAGAAAACTTAGCTCCCTGATAGGTATGCGCAGTACTCAGCAGAGTGGGTGCATTCAATAAAAGTGGGTCTGCTTACCATTAGTGTTTATTTTTGTTGTTTCTTCTGGACATGCTGAAGCTGAAAGCAACCTGTTCTAGAACCCCAGCAGCTTCTTCCTTATTTAGTTCTCCTTTTCTGTCCAGAGAATGAAGACTGGAAATGGAAAAGCTCTTCATCCACTCACGATGAATTAAATATCCTCCCAGTTTTAAGTCATGTATAAAAGGTGGGGCAGTAGTTCTACTTTCAGTCTTTTGAGGAACCTCCCAGTGGCTATACTAATTTACACTCCCACTAACAGTGCACGAGAGTTCCCCCTTCTCCACATGCTCACCAGCATTCATTACTGCCTATCTTTTGGATAAAAGTCATTTTAACTAGGATGAGATGATATCTTAAAGTAGTTTTGATTTGCATTTCCAATGATCAAGGATGTTAAATACTTTTCCATATACCTGTTTGCCATTTTTATGTCTTCTTTAGAGAATTCAGATCTCTTGCCTATTATAAAAATCAGATTATCAGATTTTTCCCTATGGAGTTGTCTGAGCTCCTTACATGTTCTGGTTATTAATCCCCTGACAGATGGGTAGTTTGCAAATATTTTGACTTATTCTGCGGTTTATCACTTCACTTTGTTGTTTCCTTTGCTGTGCAGAAGCTTTGTAACTTAATGTGATCCCATATTAATGTTATTGCTTTGGTTTCCTGTGCTTTTGGGGTATTACTCAAGAAATCTTTGCCTAGACCAGTGATCTGGACATTTCCTCAATGTTTTCTCTCAGTAATCCCACTGCCAGGTATATATCCAAAAGAAAAGAAATCAGTATATTGAAGAAATATCTGTACTACCATGTTTATTACAGCACTACTTACAATAGCCAAGCTTTGAAATCAAGTCAAGTGTCTGTCAACAGATGAATGAAGAAAATGTGGTACATATATAATGGAGTACTATTCAGCCACAAAAAAGAATGAGATCCTGTCATTTCCAACAACATGGATGGAACTAGAAGTCATTACATTAAGTGAGATAAGCCAGGCACAGAAAGACAAACATGACATGTTCTCACTAATTTGTGGGTGCTAAAAATTAGAACAATTGAACTCATGGAGACAGAGGGAAGAAGGATGGTTACCAGAGTCTGGGAAGGGTAGTGGGAAGAGAGGGAGGCAGGAAGTGAAGACGGTTAATGAATACAAAAATATAGTTAGATACAATGAATAAGATCCAGTATTTTATAGCACAACAGGGTTACTATAGT